GACATTTGTTGGAATTAAAAATATTGATTTTTATGATTTCTGAAGGGGAAGCCCTGTTTATAATATAAATACAGTGTCAAATGTTTCCCTGATTTTTGAAATTGTGCTTACATCATATTATGTTTAGGTTTTATTACAATTCTAATCATTTCTTTTTAAAACAATAAACATTGCCAAGGAGTGAAGGTAGTTAAAATAATATTGGTGTCAAGGAAAAAACTGTTCTTTTCACACTCCAATTTTTTTACAGGTCCAAAAATTCAAGTTTGTCGATAACTCTTTAAGAAGTCAGGGATCAATTTGACACTATTTATTTATTTATATTATGACAAAGGCCCAACTTCCAAAATGATAAAAAATCAATATTTTCCAATTCTGACAAATGTTGTTATTTAAGCAAAATTTGAATTGAAAGCTAATCTACAAAATTTATTCCCCTAAACTTATGAGATTTTTCTTTATTTTTATGCATGGACAAGTCTATTTAAGTTGTGCCTTGGTCAGTAAATATTTCTGGAAATATGCCAGATTGGCAATATTTTCTTAGATTTGATGACTGAGACAAATTCAAATGAGAATTATAGAAATGTGTAAAACATTGCTTCCCTTTGTCTCTGCTATTAATATTTTCACAATAATTGTTCTGATGAACATTCTTTATTAATATACACAGAGGTTAGATTCCCCTCCTACCACAGATAAAAATTGTACATATGGTGACTATTTAGGACTTCATATAGATTTCTGAGGTATTAAGGTGAATGTAGTAGGAATGATAAATAAGAATGTTTTGGTGTAAGGAATATTGTGGTATGTTTGGGTCAGTGACTGTGGCTAGCTAAGTTTAATTATAAGACAAAAGAGAACCAACCAATTCAGGCAAATCAAAGGTAATTGTGAAAAATCATGTTGAAATAATTTGTCTTCTGTTAGATGTATGAGCTGTAGAATGAAATTTGTCAGCTAATAAAAATACATCTTTAGAATTTGAAATAGAAATAAGAAGATAGTGGCCTCTCAAGACAGCAACATTGATATTGGGACCTTGGAAATGAGACTTGCAGGGGGCAACTTGTACAGCACAAAGGCAAAACAAATAATAATAATAGTAATAATAATAATAATAATGTATCAAATGCAGAAACAATGACAAGCTAAGCCTCTTCATCATCAATACTCTACCCATATTAAAGAAGCTGATGTAAACAAAACCCCCATACCCATCAGTGATTACATAGTTCAGGGTTAAAAGCTGAAACCAAAGGCTTTATTCTTGTTGCACAGGACCTTTGCTTGCTAACTAGAAATTACCAAGTGCACATACTGAAAAATTGTATTTGTCCAAAATGCAGATTATGTGGTAAATATCTAGCAGCAATGGACCATGTTTTTTATCAGGTTGCACATTATTGGCACCCACTGAATATAAAACCTGACATGACAGAGTGGCCCAATATTTACATTGGAAAATATGCAAATTTTATAGAAAGAAAAATACAAAAAATTGAACACCACCCAGACATGGTTATAGACAGAGAACCTGTAACAATTTTCTTGGGACATTACAATACACACAAACAGAACAATCAAAGCTAATCACCCTGACATTGTGATTAGAGACTGCAAAGATAAAATGTGCCTCCTTATTGACACTGCAGTCCCTGCAGACTGGAATGTATCTTTGAAGATCTTAAAAAAACTATCAAAATACAAGAACCTTGAAATTGAAATCTCAAAAATGTGACACATGAAGGCATTACGAATTCTAGTTGTAGTTGGATTCCTTGGATTGATTGGAGAAGATTCTGATAGACTTTTTGAAGGGATTACTGGTAGTCCAAGCCTTAAGGAAATAAAAAATATTATTTTCATAAGTAGAGCCCACACCTTGCGAAGGATTCTATCTCTGTAAAATACGTGTGATTTTTTTTTTAGATTTTTTTTAAAACTGCTCAGTGGAAGATGTCATGATGCCATTTCTGACCTTAAGTTTCTGGTCGGGATCTGGAAAGAAATGAGTATACACGAGAAATCAAAAGAAGTAATAATAATAATAATAATAATAATAATCATGTATCTGGTTGGCACCCACTGAATATAAAACATGGCTTGAAAATGTAGGCCAATATCTGCACCGGAAAATCTGCAATTTTTACAGAAAAGAAATTGCAAGAAATTGGTTTGAACACCACCCAGACCCAGTTACAGAGATAGGAACTGTAACAATTTTATGGGACATTACAATGCACACAAACAGAATAATCAAAGCCAATCACCCAGACATTGTGATCAGAAACCATAAAAACAGAATATACCTTCTTATGGACATGGCAGTTACTGCAGACTGGAATGTATCTTTGAAGATCCTCCAAAAAATATCAAAGGACCTTGAAATCAAAATCTAAAAATGTGGCACATGAGGATCCCCAGTAGTGCAAGACTTAAAAAAATACAAAAAAATTGTACTTGCAAGTAGAGTTTACACCTTATGAAGGGCTCCATCTACGAAAAATGTGTGTGATCTTAGTTTTTTTCCCCAAAAAATGGTCTGTGGAAAATGCCATTTCTGATCTTAGGTCTCTCGCTGGGATCCAGAAAGAAACAAGTATGCAAAAGAAATCAAAGGAAATAAAATAATAATAAATAATATAGAAATTTACTAAAAATTTATAATAAACATTGAAATTTACAAATTCTTTCTCTTACAACAATTTTTAGAAAAATAGATTTCTCAAGTCCAGTGCTTTTACAGTTCTTACCAGTAGTGATGGGGGTTTCCTTCCTAACTGTGGAATGTCAACATCTTGATTATGTCATTATTTTCTCTTCTCAAGCCCAGTAGCTGTTATCACTCTTTCCATTATTGATAGAGGTTTCCTTCCTAACCTTTTATTTCAAGTTGTGTGGAATGTCAACTTCTTGATTATGTCATTATTTTCTCTTCTCAAGCCCAGTAGCTGTTATCACTCTTTCCAGTATTAATGGAGGTTTCCTTCTTAACATTTTATTTGAAGTAGTGTGGAATGTCAACATCTTGATTATGTCATTATTTTCTCTTCTCAAGCCCAGTAGCTGTTATCACTCTTTCCAGTATCGATGGAGGTTTCCTTCCTAACCTTTTATTTGAAGTAGTGTGGAATATCAACATCTTGCTTATGTAATTATTTTCTCTCTGAGTTACATGTGATATTTGTTTTAGTTGTTGCTGATGTTGAAGTCCTCAATTGATGTGTTTTTTGTTTTTGAGTCTCCACCCACCAGTGCCCAATGTTCAAAAAAGAATGGTCTTTGCCATGACCCTCAGGCTTTACTTACTCAAAATCTTTTTCACCATTGATTTTAGAAAGCAGTTATATACAGCTGACAGTTTAGATAGAGTATAATGTGGGATTTCCAGAAATGTCATACAAACACTGCTCAAGGCCCCTCAGCACTTATCCTTTTGGGGACACCTCAGTCATTTGGTAATAACCACAGCTCCCTTCCAAAGGAGAGGTGCTGCCTGGGTGGATGGCTCCGTGTGGCTTGAGTTGATATTAATTTCAACTTCATGGTGTATTGCCAGGTAAGTATGGTCGATACAAATTAAATATGGAGAAAGACAGACTTGTTTTCTTAAACAAGAAAATATTGTTTTTGAGACTTTATCTAGATGCCCAGAAACAAGACTTGTTCAGCAGCTGACAAGTTTGTCTTATACAATGGAAGAATTCTTTGGGAAGTCAATATAATAATATCAAAAGAAAATAATATTAAAATATCTAAGTCTAACAAAGATGAAAAGGAAGTCTTTAATATTGAAAATGAAAAAAAGAAAAAAGAGAAACATGAAGTAAATCTAATCATAATGATATGGCATCAATAATTATTATTGATCCAGGTTTTTTCCCAATCATGTAATGAGTCTAGAAAAAGAATTAATTTCTGCTGAGAAAATAACTCATGCTAAAGAATCAAACACTTTCTTCTCTCTGCTCTATTCACAAGAAAATGAATCACTTAAAAGGAATAAATCCAAAGGGAAATGTTATATTAAAAGCACATTAATTATAAAATATATTTTATATATATATATATATATATATATATATATATATATATATATATTCAACATATCATCAGATATATTGATGTGTGAACAGACATATACATATACAAAAGATATATATATATATATATATATATATATACTTATGTTATAATTTTTTATAAATAATAATTATATATATATATATATATATATATATATATATATATGTATGTATGTGTGTGTGTGTGCACAAAACCAGCATTATAAACAAGGTTAATGTGGAATTATTTTGCTAAAATAACAGTCAAGATTATCATTGATTTTTTACTGTAGTAACTTTGGGGTTTTTGTCTAAACAATTTTCAAAATAGTAAAATGTTTTCATTGGAAATAAAATAAAAATATTTTCTTATTATGATTTTTGTCTAATATATTCATGTAACTTTTTGTATTGTCTGATTGTTCAAAAATGAAGTGTTTTCATTATTCTATATTTTATTTTCAAGACAAGGATCTTCATCATTGTTGTTTTCAGCAGATTTTATCTGATATATTGTTTTGACTTATTGACTTTTAACAAATTAGATTAGTGTTTTCATTAACATTTTGACCATTCTAAAAATTCTTCATAAAGTCGCTTCTTCATCCCTCAACATTGATGACTTTAAACTTTTTTTGCTGAATTTTTGGTCTTGAATTCTTTTAGTGCTGTTTAAGTGATATTTCCACCATCTATTATATTAGAAGAAGAGAAAAGAATCTTTGAAATTAGTTAGGAATTCAGCTCCAAATAATCAGAACCAACAAACTTTTCTTGCATTTATTAAGTTGGGAAAAGAAGACACTTGTAGATATACAAGAAAAACAATGAAAAAACTAAACAAAAATACTTTATCAGTATTGTTCTTTCTTTATCAATATTGTTCTATTAAACATGTATTAAAGAGGGACTGCTGCCCAAATACACAAGTTATATCTATCTATCTATCTATCTATCTATCTATCTATCTATCTATCTATCTATTTCAGTCTGTCTATATCTATTCATCTATCTAAAATCTATCTATCATCTATCTATCTATCTATCTATTTCAGTCTGTTCATATCTATCTATCTATCTATTATCTATCTATCTATTTATCTATCTATCTATTTCAGTCTGTTCATATATCTATCTATCTATCTATCTATCTATCTATCTATCTATCTATCTACATATCTATCAATTTCAGTCTGCTCATTATCTATCTCTGTTCATATCTCTCTATCTCAGTCAGCTTATTATCTATCTATCTATCTATCTATCTATCTATCTATCTATCTATCTATTATTATCTATCTATCTATTTTTAAATAAATATTATATATATATATATATATATATATATATAAATAAAATATGAACACCACCACAGTGTGCTGACCACATTAGTAAAATAAAAAATTTCCGATCACTATAGATACGCATATATAAAAACCTACATATTCAGTTAAAAAAAATAGCATCCTTGATAATGGCTATATTAGCCATTATAAAGGATGCTTTTTTTAAAGAAAAGCCAGAAGTGCACAAGGGTGTGTGTGTATATATATATATATAGATAGATAGATAGATAACTTAAGAGTTTGCATCCAGAAATGTATATAAATAAAAAAACAAATGTTTGACAAATGTATGTCCCACAATCAATCTCCATAAATTAACTCTAACCATAAACCTTAACCCACATTATATACACAATGAGTTGAAAGTTAGGAGAAGAAAGTAAATTATAATTGGACAATATTATTGTTTTTTATTTTCTAATCCAAGAGTGAAATGAAAGATCATTACTTACCACTTCGAATTGAGAGTGTCACCATATTTGCTAAGAAAGCAGTCACTGCTTTTGCTTCCTTTTTCATTGAAGAGCATAGAAGCTGATGAACAGGAAGTTACTTATGGACTATAAAGGTCAGAGGAGTCATGGATTAGGAGAGCCTTGCATCATAACAAGTATTCTAACTGACAGCCTATCGTATGATTCATACTCTTCCCCAGTCTTTTGAAAAGAAGTAGAGGATTATTTCTTGATTCCTGCTTTTGATTAGGCTTCCAGTTCCTTCTAAAATCTTTCTCATTCTCTTTGATTAGTAGCGTTTTGTATATATATATATATATATATATATATATATATATATATATATATATATATATATATATATATATAAGGTGACCCAAAAAAATGGGAATTTTTGAAGTGCATATTGCCAGACATGAGCAAGTGGCAACACTGCAAGACAGTGAGCTTGAGCAAATAAACATTTCACCATTTAGAATTCAAGATGAAATTCACAGTATCCCAGCTGAGATGTTGCAGGAATCTCAACAGCAGATTTCAAGAATGCATTCGTAAAGGAGGACGCCATCTACAGGACGTAATTTTAAAAAAATGATAATTCCATCATTGTTTCTTTAATGGCATGTTTTAAGGTTTCAGTTACTATGAATAAAATATTTTTCTTCCATCACTCTTGGTTTTATTGAATTGTTAAAAAGTTCCCATTTTTTGGGGTCACCCTGTATATGAATACAAGGTTGGTATAGATAGAATAAAATTCCAGTCACCAAAAACACTATTTTTTTAAAAAAAGTGCTTAATACAAAGTAGAGCGAATAATATTTATTTAAAAATTATAACATAAGCATGTTATAACATCACTACAAAAATAGCCATTTTGGTTCAACACTTCTGGTGTCTTGTCAAGTGATAGTGTTGATTGTAAAATAAGTTTTGAAAGGGTTCAAAACCAACCACTACCCCCACTAGGGGCCATTACATCTTACATAAAAATATTCCCCCTAGTGGGGGTAGTGATTAGTTTTGAACTCTTTCAAAATGTTTTATTTTACAATCAACACCATCACTTGACAAGACCCCAGAAGTGTTGAAACAAAATGGTTATTTTTGTAGCAATGTTATAACATACTTATGTTATAATTTTTAAATAAATATTATATATATATATATATATATATATATATATATAATTTTTAAATGGAATTTTTAATCTGACATTATTTCTTATTACTATACTGTACCGACTAAAAATAACATTTATAGTAATAAGAAATATGTGTGTGGGTATGTGTGTGTCTGTGGGCATGTGTATATTCTTTTATGTTTGTCTCTGCGTATGGATATGCCTGTGTGTGTATGTGTGTGCATGTTTGTCTGAGCATATGTATTTTATGCTTGTCTCTGTCTATGGATATGTGTGTGAGTCTGCTGGTCTCTGCATTTTTGTATATGTTTGTGTGTGTCTGTGGGCATGTGTAACATGTTTGTGTGTGTTGGCATGTGTGTGTGTAACTTATGTGTGTGTGTGTAACTTATGTCTGTGTGTGTGGTTATATATGTGTGTGTGTGTATGTGTGTGTATGTGTGTGTGTGTATGGGTTTATGTATGTGCATGGGTTTGTTTTCTGAAAGCTGATCAGCCATTTTCGGCTCAGATGATCCGATTTGTTTACCCAATAAGCTGTTATCTGATGACAGCACTTCATAGCCAGACAAAATGCTCAAGCTTGCAAGAGAGTTTACTCAAACGTCATGAAATAGAATCGGAAATTTTCACTTTGTCTTAGACTGGTACCATTCATAGGTATTCCCTCCAAACAACTTTATTGATTTTTTGAGAACAAAGCAACTAAATAAGGACATTAAATGATGCACTGTCAAAAAGAATAAATTGAACAGTTCTCCCAGCTTCATACAGGGGAGGGGAGATAAGTCTGACATAGAACGATGCAAACATCTTACCACTGATATCTTCAAAAAGTTCTTCTCAGAAATTTATTAATTGTGATCAAAATGACTATTTGTAAAATGAAAGTTCCAATCAGGCAGTTTTTTCAGACAACTGCTACTTTGTGGAACCAGCTTCCACATAAATATTTCCATGAACACTATATACTTAGCTTCTCTTCAAGTCAAGTGTCTTCATTTCCTTCTGCTTCTTCTTGCATTAATATCCCAACTTTCATTCAGTAGCCCTCTTCCATGAGTAGCTCTTGAATCTTGTATTGAGTGAAGATTACTATTGAAAAAAAATGTATATAAAGACAGAGCTGGATTATGTCCATTTGGGGTTCCTAGGCTAATGAAATGACAGAGCCACCATCTAACTCACCTGCACCTGACTTTAATATTTTTTACTTGTAATATATTTTAGCAACATTTACATAGCTTGAAGTAAACTTATTCTTTAAATAAACTAGAATAGCAATCTTTTGTTTATCAATAAAAATATTCTTTAAGAAATACTATTATTTTACTATTTATTGCAAATTAGCAAATATTTCAACACAGCTGTAGAAAACAAAAATAGATTTTTTTATAAGTAGCATTATAAGAATAAAACAATCAAAACAAATCGGAGTTTGCCATATTGATATTATTTCAGTTTATGAAACTATTTAGAAGTTATAACATGCAGGAAATCAAAATCATTGCTTTATAAAAGCTTGATAAGACCTAGGCTGCAGCCTATAGTAGCCTAAAGGATAATCCAGTCCTAGGCTGAAGCTGTTATAAAATAAAATAAGACATATCTCGGCTGATTTACAGGCAAATACTTAAGAGTGAGAACCGGATGTGAACGGGACAAAGCCCCATCACAGAATGACCATTATCTTTCTTTACAAATGTTCCCGACACACGTGTTCCGGTCGAAAAATAAAATAATATTTAAAGTGCTCTATTTTTTGTCCAATAAAAATGCTTCCCTCCTAATTATACTCGCTTCGTTTCTCGAGCCTGTTAAGCCATAAAAAACACTATAAAAGGGGTCACACGGAAGTTCAACAGCAGTCAACAGGTGGCCTGCGAACAGACCTGATGGTCAGGCCGAGCGATCAGCAGCAGGGGAGCGTCAACCACCGTCAACATGTGTGAACTACTATGAGAGATCGACCAGATCCGAAAGTCGGCTTATGAACTTTACCACAAGGTAGCTGTCCCAAACCCTCACGTTCATGTTGAATAAACCACGTAAATCTATTTCTACTGTTGTCGTATTTCTTTCTTGCAACCATACGCTTGTCTATAACAAAGTCTATACTAGCCTAGAGGATAATCTGGTCCTAGGCTGAATTCTATACTAGCCTAGAGGATAATCTGGTCCTAGGCTGAATCCTATATTAACCTAAAAGATAATCTTGTCCTAGGCTGAATTCTATACTAGCCTAGAGGATAATCTGGTCCTAGGTTGAAGCCTATACTAGCCTAATCTGGTCCTAGGCTGCTGCCTGTACTAGCCTAAAGGATAATATGTCCCTAGGTTGCAGTCTATACTAGCCTAAAAATAATCTGGTCCTAGGCTGTCACCTGTACTAGCCTAATGGATAATCTGGCCCTAGGTTGCAGTCTATACTAGCCTAAAGGATAATCTAGTCGAAGTCTGCAGCTTATACTAGCCTAAAGGATAATCTGGTCCTAGGCTGCAGCCTATACTAGCCTAATGGATAATCTGTTCCTAGGTTGCAGTCTGTACTAGCCTAAAAAATAATCTGGTCCTAGGCTGTTGCCTGTACTAGCCTAATGCATAATCTGTCGCTAGGTTGCAGTCTATACTAGCCTAAAGGATAATCCGGTCCTAGTCTGCTGCCTGTACTAGCCTAATGGATAATCTGTCCCTAGGTTGCAGTCTATACTAGCCTAATAAATAATCTGGTCCTAGGCTGTTGCCTGTACTAGCCTAATGGATAATCTGTCACTAGGTTGCAGTCTATACTAGCCTAAAGGATAATCTGGTCCTAGGCTGCAGCCTATACTAGCCTAATGGACAATCTGGTCCTAGGCTGATCCTATACTAGCCTAATGGATAATCTGTTCCTAGACTGATCCTATACTAGCCTAATGGATAATCTGTTCCTAAGTTGCAGTCTATACTAGCCTAAATGATAATCTGGTCCGAGGCTGTTACCTGTACTAGCCTAAAGGATAATCTGGTATTAGGCTGCAGCATATACCGGTGTAAAAGATAATCTGGTCCTGTACTGCTGCCTGTACTAGCATAAAGGATAATTCAGCCCTGGGCTGTAGGTAGTGCAACTGATATTAGTGCAAAATGTGAAATCAGCAAACGAAGTACAAATTCTTGTGTGCTGCATTCATTTTTGGGGAAAGGCATGAATCCATCAATTCCTATAGTCTGCTTTCTCAAGCTTTGGTTAGCAATCAGTTGAAGAGAAAAACACTAAATTCTTAACCCAAGAGAAGGCAATAGGAAAATATTTCCACTATCTTTGCCAAAAAGTCATTGTAATTTACAAATAATAATGAAACGAAAAGTTGTGGAGAACTATGAACATTT